ATCTAATATAAATTCATTATGCACAGACCAGGTCCAATCCAATATGTCATATTGATCCGTTTAATCCATCCAAATTCAATATATATTATTGGTCCATCCAATCCGTCCAAATGAATTTTGATTTGAACGGAGTCAAACCCAAAACCAATCCATTAACACCCCTAATTACTACTTCAACTCGTATCTTTTTTTATATAGGTATAGAACAGGTTATGCTTGGTAGTTGGCACAGTGCCTGTGTATAAAATTTCATGCCAACCCATGTGTTGGGCCCCTCCCTGATTTATTGGGCCAGTATGGCCCTTTACAGCGAGGACGCCACACCAAAACCATTTCTTCTAGATGGTATCACATTGTATTGATATYAATAGAAAACTCACTAACATTCTTCAGGATCCTTTTTCTTGAAAATTTTCTTCTTTTTTATTTTCATACGAAATTATGTCTTTTATTGGTTCATCAGTTTCATTCTCTTGCTCATTTGTTTCTTTCTTAGTATTTTCTTGGCTCATATTTTCCTTTTTTTTTTCTGTTTTATCCTTTAATTAGTTGTTAAGGCTGCGTTTGGTTGCAATGCAAATAAATTTGCACTGATGCAAAACCATGACAATGCAAGTGATTTGAGTGTATATTCTGACCTATTTTTATTTCAAATATTAGCCTATTCTGTTTGATTGCAGTGCAAATGAAGTAAATTAAGACATGAAACAGAACAAAGTAAAATCCAAAACAAAATTAAATAAGAATTTGCATTTTCTTACATTTGCACTCCCATGTATTTGTACTAGTGCAAATAAAATTGCACTACAGCCAAACACAGCCTAATGATCACATACTCACTAGGGAATGGGGATATGTATGTATCCACCATGAAAAACCAAGCAGATGATACATATAACCTTGTGGTTAGCTTTAGAGCTTCTGCAGCCTCTTTACTATCAATACATACTAGTGAATGACCATGTACCAAGTATGGGAAAGTTAATTTCACACATACATACATACATACAAACATATACATACATACATATATATATACATATATATTTAATTAAATTATATAAATGCCATAATAAATAATGTTAATCAATATAATTTTGATACATTTTGTCAATAAATATTACTATTAATTATCGTTATTGACAATTAATATTATTGGTAATTATTGTTAATTATTAGAACATTTTTGAAACACTGGAAATAAAAATTACAAGTTAAACATGTGTCCTTATATACTGGTAATAGATACTAATAATAAATACTATTTATAGGGTAAAGTTTTAAAATATAAACTGCTATATTAAATACTGTTAATTAATACTGCTAACATTTAAAGAATGTATTACACGTGGGATGCATAGAGTGTTGGATTTGACTTTTGCTATTTAATCATTTTTCTAATTAATCAGATTTAATTATTTAATCATTTTCCTTTTATCAATTTTTTTTAATTTTTAAACATTTTATTAATTGCTCAATTATTTTCTTATTGAATTAGTCAATATTAATTGCTTGATCAATTTTTTATTTGAATAAAATAAATAATTCAATATTTTTCTTGTTGATGTAATTCTTAATTAGTAAATTACTTAATCATTTTATTATTTAACTATCCATTAAATAGTGAATAATCAATTATACTTGTTTGTCTCAATTTATTAATTATTTAATAATGTTTTGTTTAAGTAAATGTTTTGAATTATTTAATCATTTTTATTTATAATTGAATATTTTTGTATTTCTCTTATCAATTTGTTACTTATGTAAATGAATTAATTAATTCAGTTAAATTAATTGAATTAAGGTAATTATTGATTATGGAGAAAGCAAAGTGTGCTTACTTTTTTGTCTTCCTAAAAGTAAGCAACGTGTGCTTACCCATGAATGAATTGAATTACTATTTCCTGAAAATGTGGATAGTTGAATTTGAATTCTATTTCCTATAAAAATGGGAAAGTGGGCAGTTGAATTGAAATTCTATTTTTTGTAAAAATGGGATGACACGTGTCTGACTAGGAGGAGGCTTTGGATACATTTCAACATTCCAAATAACTAAAGCATGCATGATATAGACATAGCTAATCATACTTTCTTTACTTGAGTCAAAACTCCTAGTTTTTTCATTTATGTAACTATGTAATTTTTTTTCAGTTCAAAATGGTACGTATTTCTTTTTAAACTAAACCATTACTTAAGGCTACATTTGGTTTATGAGAAGATTTTGGTGAGATGGGATGAGATGAGAAAGGGAAAATGGGTGGAAATTTTTAAGTCCCATTGTTTGGTTCCAAAGGGAAGGATAGTGGGAAAATCAACCCTAGTAACAATTATTAAGTAATAAATTAGTAATATTTTTATTATTTTAAATTTTACTATTATTAATTATTAATATTTAAATGAAGTAATTCAATAATTAATTAATATTGATAATTATCTCATTAATTATTAATTACAAATTAATATTTCCAAAATTATTATATAAATATTTACTATGAATTAATTAATAATTTTGTTTGTGTTATTAACTATTTTGAATTATTTAAATTTTTTATTATATAATTATTTTTATTCAATCATTAATTATATTAATAATACTAGTTTATTATTAATATTATATTTTATTAATACCCAGGACTTAATTAATAATTTTTATATTTTTATATTAACTATTGACAAATTATTAAATTATTTTTCATTGATAAATTATTTCTTTTAATTTATTTTAATTAAATTTTTAATTATAAAAAAAAATCATTTAATTAGTAAATTAATGAATTAATAAATACTTTGTCTTTAATTCTTAATTAATTAATAATATTTTATAATTTAGTATTTTATTGTTAATTATTAATTTGGCATTAATTAATTATTAACATTAATTAATATTTTATTTTTTTAGTTTATATTTATTATTATTTTTTGTAAATACTTATGAATTAATTAATAACTTTAATATTTTATTTTAAAAAATAATTAATTATTAATTTTTTATTAAAACTATTGATGTATGTTATTTATTAATTATTTTAATTAAATTATTTTACTAATATGTTATTAAATAATTAATAATTTATTTATGGATCATGGATCTAATATTAATTCTTAGAAATACTGCAAGCAAGGTGCTTTTTCTTTTTTGTTAAACAAGCTTCCCCCAACATTCCCCCTTATTTCCTAGTGGGACTCCACATCCCAAGAATTGGGATCTATAATCCTACCTTTTTCCATCCCATTACCCATAAACCAAACATGGGAAGGGAGGAATATTTTAGAATATTCCATAATTTCTAATGTTTTCAAATTGCCATTGACTTGGATGGTCAGACCGTTTGGCCCAGAAACCATCCAAGAAACTGGTTCTGTTTTACCCCAAACCTGGTCCCTAGCCAAAAACTGTTGAATTGATTGGCGACCCACTGACCTAAGTGGTTGAATCATCGACCCATTCAATGGTTTTGGCCACTTTTTTATTTTTTTATTTTTTTGTTAGAATGGGTCGTCTGTTTGAACCGTCAACCTAGAAACCGATGGCCAGAACGGTTCTGATTCTTGGTCAGTTTTTGAAACCTTAATAATTTCCCTTCACATTCCACAAACCAAACAGAGCCTAAAGGCACAAACTAAGGCTTTTTATGGTACTAGTAGTTTGAGAGCACCAAGGCTATGGTTGCAAACAGATTGGGTCAAATTTAAATCAAGGTATATCCGAATCTAATACGATCCGAATCTCATAAATGTGGATTTGAATTTGAATCTGATGAAACCATCGAATCTTCATATCTGATCTGATCCGATCTAATTTGTAAAAAATAAATAAATTATTAAAAGAAAAAAGAAATGCAATAATTTAAATAAAGAAACACAAAAAATACAAGTATCTTTTCAACTATTTTGATCATATATACATGTTTTATAAAAAATAAATAATATAATAAATTTACAAAMATGCAATATAAATAATATATTTATAAATAAGTAAATAAACAACATATATATCGATTCGGATAGGGGTGATTCGAATCCGATCTGATTTCTTATCAGATCCTATTATCCAATCTAATCCGAAGATCCGAATGGGATCCAAATTCAACAAAATAAGATCGGATCTTGGATCGGATCAGATCATTTGCACCCGCAACCAAGGCTAATAGAAAATAAGAGAGGAATGAAAGTTGAGTGAAGGTTCAAGGAAATTCACAAATTTTGTTATTTTGTTAATAGAGAAACAGAAAGTTTGGAGGAAGTTCTTTGAGACAAAAGGAACCTCCATGTCTCATATATTGGCCAACAGGTCAGAAGGGAGTTCCGCAATGGACCCCAATAGATCCCTGTCACTACAACCAATTTTGCAGCCTCTAATCCAACAACTTAGGCATTAGACCTGTTCAGGGGGATTGACGGTCCAGCCTGGCCTGGCTCATTCTTGGTCATGCTTGGACAGGATTGTAGGCCCACAGGATTAGGTTTGGGCTCAAAAAGACTAGGCCCGATCCTCTGGCAATAAAAAAAAAAAATGTATAATACATGTTTTCTTCTTTGTCCCTCTTCTCTTTTTTCAAACGAGATCTTTTCAGTATTTTTAGAGTTTGAGGCCATTTAATATAAATAAATTTGTTTTATTGTTAAATAAAAATTATGCAAGATTTAGGCCCAATGGCCAGACCGGGCTCGGACTCATTAACACAATAAAAACTTGAAAAGACGAACTCAATTGCCCGGTCAAGGCTCCAGGAACGGCTGAACTGAACTGGAACCATCGTTTTCCAGTAGCTACTATTTTCCACAGGACCTTGATGGTGGAAAAGTTTTTTGCTCCAACCAGTCAAGAGACAAGACTAAAGCATTCAAAATAGTTATTGTCACTGGAATGGAGTTATTCAGCTGCTGGACCACTGCACATTTCTAAGAAAAAAGTTGATGAATTCATTACATTCTGATTCTAGTCATTATTATATTAAAATCTGTTGTGTTCATTGTGTTTATGGTCTCTACAGGTTCTCCCGCATTGGCTTGGCTTAATTCCTCGTCAATTGCAGTCCTTCCCCAGCACCCTACTGGCTACTGATTGGACGCGTACCCAGCACGAAATTTTTGTTCCAGGCTGACGTGAGAACGGCTTACGTCTTCAGTCTTCACAAGTGAATGCTCGGAAGTCGGAAGGAAGCTTGCTCGACTAATATATATACAAATTTCACAGTGGATTTCAGAGTAAAAATCCTCCATTTCACAGTTGGCCGTTGCTAGTTGCGACCTTCAGAGACATGAGTTACAGAGAATGTTGGCTGTTTCTCATCTTTGTTGTTCTCTTGAGTGTGTGCATGAACTCAGCGTCTTTCGCTGCCGCCACTTCGGCCACAACCACTGCCATCACTTTTGGTGGAAATGAAACTGATAAGATTGCCTTACTAGCCTTCAAGGCTCGAATCACCAGGGATCCTCTCCTGGCCATGAGCTCGTGGAATGATTCTCTCCATTTCTGTAAGTGGGAAGGTGTTGAATGCGGTCGTCGACACCCAGGAAGGATCGTATCCTTGGATCTGGAGTCACGGGGATTGGTGGGCTCCTTGGCCCCAGAGATAGGAAACCTCAGCTTCCTTAGGAAGATCATGCTCCTGAACAATAGCTTCCATGGTGAAATCCCTCAACAAATCGGTCGTTTGTTCAGGCTACGARTTTTGGACCTTGCCAATAATTCACTTGGAGGGCAGATTCCAGCCAATCTGTCTCGCTGCTCCAACCTCAAATTCCTCTCTTTACATGGCAATAGTCTTACAGGTAAGGTTCCAACAGAACTTGGCTCTTTGTACAAGCTTCAGGTCCTTGCAGTCCACCACAACAATCTATCTGGTCTGGTTCCTTTCTCACTGTATAATCTTTCATCCCTCACCCATCTTGATCTAGGAAATAATCAATTGAAGGGGAACCTACCACACGACATTGGCTTGTCTCTTCCCAATCTTCAATTGTTTTCAGTTGGGGGAAATCAGCTAACTGGACTTGTTCCAGTTTCGTTCTCCAATGCTTCAAAACTTGAGCTCTTGAACCTGAAAGCTAACAATATTTTTGGGAGAGTGCCTATTGATTTTGGAGGCTTACCACATCTCGCAGAGTTGATTATAGGTTATAATCATCTGGGAAGTGAGCAAATCGATGACTTGAGTTTTATGAACACCATGACCAACTGCAGTAATTTACAGGTGCTTTGTTTAGAAGAGAACAATTTTGGGGGACAGTTGCCCAATTCTATAGTCAACCTCTCAACCCAACTCAGAATATTAGCTCTTGGAGAAAATCTAATTCATGGGAGCATTCCGTTAGGAATTGAGAACCTTGTCAACTTATCTTGGCTGGGATTAGAACAAAACACATTAACGGGCAGCATTCCTAGCTCCATTGGAAAGCTCCAAAAGCTGCAAAAGCTTTTGTTAAATGGAAACAAGCTATCAGGACAGATCCCGTCATCTCTAGGGAATTTAACAATATTGAATATACTGGGTTTAAATGTAAACAACTTCAGTGGTAACATACCCCCATCCCTGGGCAAATGCCAAAATCTGTTTGAGTTGTATCTCAATGAAAATAATCTTAGTGGTGTCATACCTCCCGCGCTTTTTGATCTCTCCTCCCTTCTGGTTTCCCTGAATCTATCACAAAATCATTTGGCTGGCCCCCTACCTGTGGAAGTAGGACAGTTAACAAATCTGGGAGAATTAGATGTTTCAGAGAACATGTTGATTGGTGAAATTCCCAGTACCCTTGGTAGTTGTAGGGGTCTACAATACCTTTCTATGCAGGGAAACTTAATTCGTGGATCCATTCCACCATTCCTTGGTTCATTGGAAAATCTTCAATTTTTCGATCTTTCACACAACAATCTTTCTGGTACCATTCCAAAATATCTACAATATTTTGATTTACAGAGATTGGATCTTTCTTTCAACAATCTCAACGGTGAGGTACCAACAGATGGTGTCTTCCAAAATGCAAGTGCAATTTCTGTTATAGGGAACCCTGAGCTTTGTGGAGGTATTCCCCAATTGCATTTGTTGGCATGCCCCCAGAAGACAAAGGAAAAAAGAACGTCTCAAGAATTCAAGCTAATAGTTATCATTAGTAGCACTATTGTTATCTTGTGCTTTATTTCAGTCCTGGCTTTTCTTATTCTTCACCAGAGGAAAAAAACAAAGCAGGAGACTTCTTTCGCATCATCAATGGAGCATCGTTATTCAATTGTATCTTATGAGGCCCTTCTAAAAGCAACTAGAGGATTTTGTTCAGCTAATTTGATTGGTGCGGGTAGCTTTGGATCAGTGTACAAAGGAATTTTCGACCAAGATGAAACAATTGTTGCAATCAAGGTATTAAACCTTCAACAGAAGAGAGGTTATAAGAGCTTTGCATCTGAGTGTGAAACATTGAGAAATATTCGCCATCGGAATCTAGTGAAGATTGTAACTTCTTGCTCAAGCATAGATTTTAAAGGCAATGACTTCAAGGCTTTGGTGTATGAATTTATGCCTAATGGGAGTTTAGAGGAGTGGTTACATCCAAAAGAAAATTGTACTTGGGGCAAACCGAGGCATTTGGACATTCTTCAAAGATTGAACATTGTCATTGATGTGGCTTCTGCACTGGATTATCTTCATCACCACTGTCAAACTCCAATAATTCATTGTGATATAAAGCCAAGCAACATTCTTCTTGATGACGATTTTACCGCTCGTGTGGCTGACTTTGGCTTGTCAAGGTTTCTTTTGAAGAGAAGCAACACAACTTCTCTGGACCAAAGTAGCTCAGTTAGAATAAAGGGGTCTATTGGGTATGTTCCTCCAGGTAATGTAGGCTTTAAACAAGTTTTCTTGAATCTTTATCATATAGAGACTAGGGAGAATAACATCCTTGTCTCATGTCTCATGTTATTCCTATTAATTAGAACAAGATTGTGTTATTGTATGGATTACAGAGTACGGTGTTGGTGCCGATGTATCAATCCATGGGGACATATACAGCTATGGTATTACTTTGTTGGAGATTTTTACATGTAAGCGACCCACAGATGAAATTTTTAAAGATGGTTTAAATCTTCATGACTTCAGTAAGATGGCTTTTCCTGACAAAGTGATGGAAATTATGGATCCAATGCTTCTCCCCGAGGAAGAAAGCAAAGAAAAAGCGGCAGCCATTCACCCCATCGCAAACCAGAGATACATAAAAGATGAGTTGCAAGAATTGTTGATTTCAGTATTAAGACTTGGAGTTGCCTGTTCGGTTGAAACACCAAGAGAGCGAATGGACATGACAAATGTGACCAAGAAACTACAATTAATTAGGCGCATTTACCTTGGACTCGACAAAAAAAAAGGACAAATGAATGATGGCTGAACTGCCATTTCAAAATTACTAGCTGGGAAATGGGAATCGCTTGTCATGTTGCATGCATACAGAGGTGGTTGTGGTGGGGTCTGTAAATAAGCCATTTATGGAATGGTGCCAATGTTGCCAATGTTGCAAAGATTTCTTAAGATTGGAAGAGGATTCCAGAAATAGACTTGCGATAAATGACCCTTTATTTAGTTTCTAATTCAGTAGGTAACCTTCTGTCCATTATTCACACCTACTTATACATTGACATATGTCCCCAATTCTTAGTATTTAGTGTATCGTTCATGCAAACACCATATGCATTGCAGTACTGTAAAGTGTCAAACCCTGTATATAAAAGCAACTAAGCACAGAGAGAGAGAGAGAAAGAGATTTACTGCAAAGCAACATAACGTAAGTCCTGGTACCCAAACACCACAAAAATTATTACAGGAATAGGGGCAGGCAAAGGATAAGACAAGGGACTACCATGCACCTTGGCAAAATGGCCTCAGAGAACCGCTAGAGAGCGGGCTGAGTGAGCAAAGAGTCTGAAATTGAGAATTAGGTTATACAGATCTTGCGATCACTGTACAAAAAATACCATAAGCACAAGACCTGACTGTTGCATTTCGTTGAAAAAGAGGACGCCTCAACATAGATGCGGCGTGACTAGTTTTTTACAAACTTGAGTCTACAGACTCAAAATTCAAAAGCCCCCAACTTGTTGCTTAAAACCACCACCATCATATCGCCCAGCAACACCAGTACTTACATATGTTGATGTTACACCGCTTGATCCAGGACAGTCTCTCGCCCAGTGCCCAAATTGGTGGCATTTGAAGCACTCTGAAGAGCTGCCACCACCTGCTCCAGGAGGAACTCTATTAACAAAACCCCCGCCCATGTGTTGTCCCTGTCCAGTCATGATACTGGGGCAATTGTTGGAATTATGCCCTGTACCACCACAGCTGTTACAGCTAAGATACCCACCCATAGACCCAGCCACAGGCACCCTTGCACTACCATATTGGTTTCCATACTGTCCCACTTGATTAGACTGTGCACCTATGCCCCTACCAGCATTGTTGCTACTCCATGTGTTGTTTGCTGCAGGAGCAATAGGTCTTGATCCAATATTCCCGTATCCAATGTTGGTTATTCCCGAGTCTGGAATGACAGCTGCTCTTTGGGGCAGAGCACTAGGACCTTCACCTTTAAGTTTAGTTATCATATCCAAAAGAAATCTTGACTCAGCTGAGGGATCCACCCTCTCGGCTTTGATCACTGTTACTTTTAAACGTTGTTCATCACTGAAAGTCTCCTCCTTTACCTTCAACTTGAATAAATACCGAGTAAACAGAACCTTCCGTATAATTTTGGCAAATTTCTCATCATCTTGTTCTTCATATTTCAAATAATACAGGTCTCTTGCTGAAATACCCATCATTTCCTCACCACATTCTTGGAATGCAGTTACCCAAGTTAAACCTGTATGGTCCTGTATCTGGAACTGTATAAGGTATCTGTACTCACAATCATCGACAGACTGATCACACCTGTCACACCGCCATTTCCCATCTCCATTATTAATGACCTTTTTGTTGCATGGACGATCCCCAATCATGATGGGACAGGCTGTGTAACAGAAATTATCAACCTTTATGAATGAAACTGTAGCATTAACAGTAACCCAATCTGGCTTCTCAGATGTTCCAAGCTTCTCATCTTTGATTTGCGAGACAGTCTTGCGGACATCAGTCTTTCCAATACCTGATGTTTCCCTGGAAATAGAGACAGAAGGAGTGTTCATTCCTTCATTGTCAAACCACTGTCTTAACCTGTGGGCCTCTGGGAAATCTGGATTTATGAACAGCTGGCTTGAAGAGATTGTCCCCACTGCTTTCCCATTAAAATCACTTACTCTACCAGTTTTTACAGCCAAAACAGGAAAAATTCCTGAATCACATATTTCTTGCATCCTTTGTCCTTCAGCATTGCAGAAATTTCCCCATAGAGTCAACTCAACACTTCGGCCAGACATGTCCTTCAACTGGAGTGTTCTCTTCTGAGTTTCAGTTCCATTTTTCCTCATTATTGAACCAGAGGGATTAATGGATGAAACAATACCAATCACATCCACATATGAATTATTCTCCATGCCTTCCACTTCACTTATAGGGCGAAAATTAAACTGCTGCCGGGGTATGGAGCTGTCATCTTCCATGCAAAGCTGTACTGTTGAAGTGCTCTCTAAAAGAATCTCATGATCATTATTAAGATGATTAAAGTTCTTTTGAGCTGGTTTCAAACTCCCCTTGGATATCAAATATACTCTTCCTACCTCAATTTGGTTGTAGAACTGGTCAGCCACTGCATTGAAGCAGGTCACCCGTATCTCTCCACCATGAGAGTCAAGAAGATCAAAAGAGAATACCTTTCCATCACCCCGAGGGTTGTTATAGTGTCTCAGTTCCCCCTTTGCTGTCACCCTGGCTTTGATTGTCCACCTACCCTGGTAGGGATTTAGAGCTGCAATGGGGATGATCCTGGCCGGTGCTTCATTTTTAGCTACAGGCCCCCTGTTCACGTACATTGGGGGTGGTTGCTGATATGAAGATTGCATTGGGCGTGCACAAGTATTTGAAGAAGCACGTGATCCATCTGTTCTTGGATTGTGAAAACCCTGATTCTGATCACTGTAACTTATGGGTAATGGTCCTGATGCTGGAATATTGCCACTTGGTTCGGTTTTAGGATATACAGGAGGTCCATTATTCACAGTATATCGTCCTGAGTCAGGATTTCCAGCAAATGAACTATTATAAGATTGAGGATTTGCAACAGGATCTGTCTTAGAATGATGCAGAGGAGGTCCACCAGAAACATTTTGTCCACCAGTTTGACCACCAGGAAGTGAAGTGCCAACATAAGATTGAGGATTTCCAGTTGCTGTCCCAGTTTGATTCACAGATGATTGTATGGGCATGGAAGGTCTTACTCCCTGAGAAGCACCACTAGCAGCACCACCTTGCACATATTGCTTTGGTTCTCCAATAGGATCACACTTTTCCAGTATCACCTCCAACTCAATTATAATAATTATCCTGATACAAGTGAGCATGATCAGAGGAGAATATACAAGAAAATACCAAATTGAATAATGAAAGCAGTTATTAATATCAACCAAGGACAGAATTTGGTAACACTATGTAGGAAAAGGAATTCATGATGCCGAGTGTTTAGCAAACCAGACAGGAGGTAGAACCACTTCCCCCCTCTGGGTCACTGGAAGTCCAAGCACAAAGTTATGCCCTCCAGTTTGATCAGCCAATTTTTTTATGACTTCCAGTACTGGGGGTATGACCAAGCTGGCCACTTAACTGGTTCATGGTTTTTCTGAAGCAACCAGCCAGTCCAGCCGATTCTCACTCTCTAAACACTGCTACCAACTACACTAAAGTGAGATAAGAAGATGACAATAACAATAAGTGCATCCCAAAAATAGTCTCACTTGTTTAATAAATTGTAGTATATATTTTGGTACTTCAATCTGAAAACAGAAAGAATAGAAGTTAAGACCAAGGTTCAAAGTATCAATACAATAAGCCCCATTTCGAGTGTATGGTATTATCTTTTGGTTGCCTAAATGCCATTTGAAGGAATGGCCATTCCTTCCCCCTCCCTTGGGAATGACAACCCCATTCCAGTTTATTCCAATTCTGATTTCAATTCCCATCTGAACAAAACAGGTGGAGAAATAGACCATTTCGGTTCTGATTCTGATTCTGATTTTAATGGATTCCGACTGCAAGCCAAACATACCCAAAATTTTGATAAAGTATCAATACTTTGATCCTTGGTTGAGAATTTTAAAGCTCACCTTAATTAGCAAAGTAACCTAATATACAAAATACAAAAATAAAAGTCAATTTGAACTACATAATGTGAAAACAGTTAGAAAATTTCAATTCTGGATCTAAATATAAGGTTCTCCCAAGACTCAAAAGCTTTAGCCTTTGTTGCCTTTTTTGCAAGGTACTTCTTTTGGCTTTTTTACAACTCGTCGCCCACATCTAAATCCTAGATCCTTGGAGATTGTTCCCTTGTGCCTTCAAGGCTAAGTCAAGTCAATCGCCTCAATTCAAAATTTCAGAATAGGCTGGTTCCACCTAAGATGAGGGAATTCTGTTCAGAAGTGTTCCTTTTTTTTATCAATAACTGGAATTCATTAGATTAAAAGAATTTAGTTACAGCGCTCCAAAGAGAGATAAACAGGCTTAACTCTCTCTGGGAAGAAAACAAAAAGGAAAAATTTACAGAACAGCCCAAAAACATTTGATCTCTTCCCACCCCCTGCTTTGCCAAAGCATCAGCAAATGCATTTGCTGTTCTCTTGACCCACTGAAACTTGATTTCCAGTCCTCTAGTTAGCCACTTAATCTCCCTCTTCTCATTCTAACAACAATTCCAAAACATCAATCCCAAAGCTTTCATTCTAACAACAATCCCAAAACATCTGCACCCTGTTTACCCCTTGCCTAGCCATTTCATCAGCTAGCCTATTTGCTGATCTGCAAGTCCAAATGAATTTTGCATTTACTTCAGCTGCCAGCTTCCTAAGCTCCTTCAACTGATACCAATATTGCTATGGGACTTGCTTGTTTTGATGCAGCCATTGCACAACCACCCTTGAATCCCTCTTCACTGTCACTGTGACATCTCTCAAATTTGGAGACCTCACCATTATTAGACCATGCAGCACTTCTGGCAGTTCTGCCCTCATTGAGTTTCCCATCCATATACGACCTGAACATATTGCCATGATGATCCCAGTATAATCCCTATAGAGTATAGACCCACCTATACCATATTCCCCTAGATTCTCCAAACTGTATCCATCGAAGTTTAACTTAAATTCACCAGAAACTGGTGGAGAGATGGGGACCACCCCAAAGATATTACACCTCTTTGGACAGGTGCCTGGTATTAATGTATTATACCCCAACTCCTTGGCAGATCATCACAGGAAAAGTCATCAAATTCATATAATCATTTTATTCTTTTATAAATGGAAGAATGTATCAAAGGTGAAGTGGAGGGAGATAAAAGGTATCATGAAAGGACAAAAAAAAATCAAGGGTAAAAGAAAATGAAAAAGATAGACAGGGATCCACACAGTGTTGGAATCCAGCACCTGTTTGATAGATGCTTCATCCAAGTAAAGGAGAACATGTGAAACAACTTCAAAAATTGTGTAATTTACTCACCATTAGAACTACCTTTCTCCAATATGTTCAAAGAACATCCTTACAGTCGCTTTTTTGCTAACACTGATTCCCTGAATGCATCTCTACTTAAATTGACCCAGCAGCATGCAACAGAGGAAAACACCAAACTTCAGCTTTCCATTACTCTATCATCTTCTTGGTTAAAGTTCCAATTTCAAATGAAGGAGCCTTCTTTTGGATAATTGAAACTTCTATTAGGGTAAAAGGGAAAAGGAAAATGAAAAAAAAAAATGATGAGAAGACCAACAAAAATGAATTCCATCCATTTCCAAAGAGACAAATGGTAATCGTAAGTCAAGGCTTCCCTCAAGTTGGAAACCAGTTAATGTCATATTCATGAGAATGACAAGGCAAGTGAAGAGTACAACCTAACCAACTATTGATCAGTTTTCTGCTTCCTACTTGTACAGTTGTACTAGGTTTTGGTTATACCTAGTAATTTAGTATTTGGATTAGTTCTGAACTGTAACCATCACAGGGTCCATCTGACAGATTAGATTTTCAATAGAAAGAGAAGCAAGAACTTGGGCCACATAAAGAAGAACCACTTGGAGACCAAGAAAAACTAAAATACAACAAAGAAACTAAAATACATAGTGTTTCTTTCTCATACCAAAGACAATCATGCGATATCTTTGAACCATCTAAGATATTAACATCAATAAGGCTATTTTTGGAAGACATAAACATAAATATTTATCAGATGTCCCCAATTGACTTCAGAATGTCTGAATTCTTCTCCTTTTCAGACATCTGCCCTCAATGAAAATAGAAACTAGATGACACCGATGCTCAAAAGATATGCATAAAAGCTAGGAGACAGAGGTTAACAATCCAAAGGAAAATATGAAGTGCACAGCTCGCAGCTTGATTTGGTGGTTCTCATGACAAGGTTGAGACTTACAAAGTACGACAATCAGCAATGAAGCCTCACTGAATACCTGTCACAGGTAAAGGTTAACCACCCTGCGGTAAGACTAAGAAGAAAGATGTCACACATGGAGCCAATCAAATCAAGCAGACAGAAATAAGACCAGAGTCACCCAAACTTCTAGTTATGTTGTCGTATCTTAAATTTGTTCATGTACCTAACAAGGGGAAATTCAGTGGAGCCCCAAGCTAGTAACGCTCTAAGCATTACTGAGATCCACTGGAAAATGGAATCGAACCTATTATTCATTCTTGTCCTCAGAAATTCCAAATCAAAGGTATTTTTCTGCTTCGAAAAGAAGTATAAATAAGCCTGAGCAATTGATATTTTTTTCTTTCTTCTTCTCCATTATTTAACAAACACGGCTGCTTGCTAACAACAAGAAACGATTGGAGCAAGTTGCAGGAAAACAAAGTAACAAACAATTAGATAAAAGGACGAAAAAATCTAACCTAATGGACTTTCATAAAGCTAAACACTAGTGAGAAAAGAAAGGATTCTGAACTCACATTCGGCCCTGTATTACATTGCAGACAAACTGGGTAAGCCGAACGACCGAGCCTTTCTGCAGTTTCCCCGATTTAACCAAACTATTCATCTGGGTTGCAAGCATTCCTTGCTGCAGATGCGTCGCATCCGAGAGCAGTATCCGGTACCGCTCGTTGTTGCTTTGCTGCTGGGTGTTCACTAACCTAATATCGACAACTTGAAGAATGGGTTTCAAGTCAGCTCCTTGCGCCTCCCCATTAGAAAGCATGGCTATGGCACCATCCGTCAGATTAATCGCCATTGCGCTTCCCAATAACTTCCCCCTCGCTGAAGAAAGATATGAAAAAAGAACCGCAATGTTAGATCAAGATCTGCGACCGAATCTTCTAACAACCGAGGCTCGTTATCCCCAGAAGAACATAAAGATACAGTAGATTTCAGGAAGCAAACTTTTTTCAGCCCTTTTTTCTAACTTAAATATCCGATCGATGAACCCTTCCTTGTTATAACCTTCTTTGTCGACGTTTCAATCTCTGCAACTTGAAACGAAGAGGATCTTAAATAAGCAAATGAGTAAATCCTCGTAGTCGTAGATTGGCAGAGATATCGATCATAAATTGAAATAAGAGATAAGAGTTTTAAAACCCTAGAAATAGAACGAGAACCGCCACAATTTGAGAGGGAAACCGCGAAACCCACTTTTTTTCAGAATTTGAGTTTCATAGCTTTTTACACTATAATATAAAAATGATAGAAATTTTTATAAAACCCTGTTAACGTCTCGTAGAAGTGTTTGGTACGTCATGGACCACCGTACTAAAATGGTCACGAGAAATCAAAGCTTCCTCGATGCATATGATCTGAGACCTATAAGCCCTAATCTAAGATTTTTCTTGTGTATGTATGTTCCGTGTTGGTCAATAAAAATCGGACGCTCAATATTAAATCAGCACATCAGTCATTCAACGAGATTGCAACTTCTTTAGTAAGCCAATGATAACAAAAAGGGTGCCCTTTGCTCTCCACGTCTCCTCGCGAATCTTGCCACTGTTATAAACACGACCGACCTCGTTACGATCCGAAATCGTCTACAGTTACACTCGTAATACATGGCCATCATAATGCACGGAGTTGGGATCTCCTGCCTATAACAAAAAAAATGGGATTAAGTCACTGAAAAGTCTGTTCAAACAACCGTAACAGCCTTGCATTGGGAATATCATCCCATCAAATAGAACATAGAAGTACGGAGATGTTCCCGATGCTAAGGCTGTTCGAACAGTGTCTGAACGGGCCTTGCAGTGACTGAAGCCGATGAATTCGGATTTTCTACCCACGTCTGCCTGAGTTCAAATCTGCGCCCCATTGCCTCTTGCCCCACACACCGAGCGTCCACCACCYATCCATTCGTACACGGTGATCATTCTCGCGTACGGGGCTAACGGGACAAGTCAACCGATCCCTCGTGATAGAACTGGCCGTCCTCTGATCCCGTTTTTCTTGCCCTCCACACGAGCTCTCCTACTCCGGCACCGGCGACCGCTCCGATGAGGTCACCTTGACCAGATATTCTCCAACACTCAAAGGTTTGTTTATCATCCCAGTCACCCTCATAATCTTCTTCTTTTTCATCATCATCAGCTTTGATGAGAAAACTGTTCCTGCCGCCTTGATTACAGACTCCATCTATATCGTCCAAGTAGTCGCCCTTTGAAATCGAAATCGACATGAGGTGGATTTAAACATGGAATTTGAAATCTCAGCGAAGGGGGGCGATGCATTTTGAAGTGGAAGAAAGGCGTCTTGTCGAAAGAGAGCTCCCTCTCCCCGTAACGAATGGAGTCCCGATCGGCAGTGTTGCTTAGGTTCTTGATGTGGTTGGGCAGATCAACTTAACCAACCGGGAGATCTGTCTGTTGTAAACCCACTTTGGATCTTAGACCTCTCACCCTTCAACTTCAATTCATCATATTCATCGGTTCCTTGCATTTCAAACCCACTATAGTGTCGGCCCACACAGATAGAAGCCATTCGTTATTTGCAAGGTTTAGGCGCTTCAATCACCTAAATAGCTGAACCTGAACGACAAGGGTATCTGAAATGAGAAAACAAAATATCAGAGAACAGGGGTATACCTGGTCAAGGTGAACTCATCGGTGCCAGAGAAGGAGAGCTCAGGTGAAGGTGAGAAGAACGGGGTCATGGGACGACCAGTTCAAGTACGATGGATCAGTTGAGTTGTCCCGTTAGCCCTGCACGTGGGAATGCTGACCACATGCGAATGGATAGGTGGCGGACGCTCAGTGTGTGGAGCATTTTTGAGGCGAGAGGCGGTGGGGCGCAAATTTGAACTCCGTCTACCTACAATAACATCGCAATCACTCACGAAGAATATCTCATCCTCCTATATAGTATTATGGGAGAGAAATGTTCCTAAGGCCCAAAGTACAAAGGGAATGCATCTGACCGTGAATTCACGGGCAGGATGTGGTTTATAGGGGGGACAAGGCTAGTTGTAGGAGGGGCTGGAATTCAGAATTCTGCACCATGTGTCTCGGTATTTTATATTTTTCCCTAATAAAATACCTCTCAACGTTCTTCAACATAATCTGGCACCCCAATCATGAGATTGGGACCCACCATGCTGAACATTTGTTTGCACGTGAAAGTGTGGTTAGTATTGGAATTGGAATTAGTTGAACACTTTGCATGTTAAGCGGATTGTATAACCAATGATAGTTTCCTATGGGATTTGAACCTTTTTTCTTAACTAGCAAGTGTATAGGTGCTTGTTACGTGGCAATTCTAAATTATGATAATTATAGTAATAGCGTATCCAAAAGTTTTTATAAAATTTATGTATTTTTATTTTTTGTTATATATATATATATATATATATATATATATATATATATTTGATTTTTATTAATAATTAGATGTAGATTGCAAAATCCAAATCTGATTATATAAACACTTCATTCAAATATGCCATAATCATATTGAATTGTAAAGTTTCAAGTATCATTCCTGCTTTGCTAGAATCTTTTTTTTGTATCTTTTTTCTTTGGATAAATTACAAAGACCCCCCTTGTATTGTGGTCAATGACAAAGTCCCCCCTGTTCTTTTTTTCTTTTTATAATAAAGACCCCCTGAAATTTAGCCATTAGACAAAGACCTCCTTCCGTTAACGTTCTGTTGGTTAATTTCGAAAAAAATTTCATCCGACTGTTTAAAATTTTTTTTAATGTCCAAACTACCCTTTTTATATTGTTCATTCTCTTCTCCATTGAAATTAGGTGAAATGGCTATAATAAAAACAACAGTTTTGAAACATTTAAGGAATTTTCCCGGTTAAGGAATTCGATTCTATAGACAACATTATGAGACTGTAGATTCTCAATTTCTTTTGGTATATTTTCCTTGAAGATGATTTTCACCCATTACTAGCAGAGAAAGCTGAGTTGAGAGATTACCTATCGAGGAGGGAGTAGGACCAGTGAGTTGGTTTGTAGCAACAGAAAAAAACTTGTAGAAGGGTGGAATTTTGCAATGAGGTGATGAAATCCAATCCGTTTTCACCGTTGCTTACCAAACCATTGATCTCAAGATTCAGAATTAAAAGATTTGGAAGATTCGAGAGTAGGGAAACCTGTCTTGTGAATTGGCTGGATGAGAGATCAAGTCGCTTCAGGCTTGAAGCATTGGAGAGAGATGCAGGGATTGGTCTTTGTAGCAAGTTACCACCCACAAACAAGGTATCTAGATTGGGTAAAGTAGAGAACAAATTGGATGGAAAATGACCTGAAAACTTGTTCTTAGCCAAACTCATGATTACTAAAGAAGAAAGGTTGTACAGAGAGGTGGGAATCTCACCTGAGAGATTGTTATCAGCTAAACTTAGTTGTAACAAGAAATGGAGCTGACCTAATTCATTTGGAATGAATCCCTGAAGATTGTTTGAGAGAAAGATGAGGTTGTTAAGAGAGGAAAGGTTTCCAAAGGAAGAAGGGATTGAACCCGTAACGTTATTCTTTGCAATAGTCAAATCTTGAAGGTTGGATAGCATACCTAATTCTGGTGGGATTGACCCGTGAAACTGATTATCAGACAAATCAAGAAGTCGAAGCTTAGAACAGAGGCTAAGCAAGGAGGGTATGGCTCCACGGATGACATAGGAAGCTAAGAACGAGCGTCTCTAGCCGAAAGAGCTTGGTGATGATGAGAGGGGTGATTGTTCTACAAGTCGATTAGGCGGAGGAAAGAGAGATTGGCGATGAGAGGGGTGATTGTTCCGGCAAAAGTGGGATTTCCACCCTTGCAACTACCCAATCCGGGTTTATTGGGGTATTTTAGTAATTTAACACTTTTTGTCATCTGACTTAACGGTTAAGAGTGTCTTTGTCTAATGGCTAAAGTTTAAGGGGTCTTTGTTACCAAAAAAAAGGTCTTTGTTATCAAAAAAAAGTACAAGGGGGACTTTGTCACTAACCTCATAGAACAAGGGGGGTCTTTGTAATTTGTCCTTTTTCTTTTGTTTATTTATCAAAAAAATATAAGATTTAAATAAAGTGAATTGAATGAGATGAAGACCTCGCAAAAAGTTGACCAAACCCGCAAACCCGACCCATCCCAACCCGAGAAAAACAGCGTTAGGGTCTCATATGTAGTTACCCAAATGTGAAAATGATCCGATTCGACCCGACCTGACTCAACCCGACCCAACCCAAAAAACGGGTTGGGTCATGGGTCAACCCGCTGACCTGATTGTCAAGTCTAATTGGGATTATTTATGCATTGTTAGAAGTTTCCACTCTTTAATTTTTTCTATTTACTCTTTACTTTTTATTGTTTACTTTTTAAATTGTTAAATGTTCAAGTTTTTTATTTTATATTTGCAATTTTAAGGTTAATTCTTTTAATTTTGACATTTTTCATGTAATTTTTCTTTATTTTTGTTAATTTCAATTATTTTTTGGGATGACTCAAATTGACCCATGGGTCAACCCTAACCCGAACATTTAGGGTTAGGGTCTAGCATTTGACAACCCAACCCGAAATTCAATCCGACCTGAAATCAACCCGAAGTACCTTGACCCAACCCGAACCCGACCCACCCAACCCAATTGCTAGGTCTAGATGAAAAGTAGTAGTTCAATTTACAATTTAAATCTGGCATAATTAAATAGGGAATGAATTCAAAAATGAGTATTTTAGTCACTTTTTTAAAAATCAAACCAGACTGAACAATCAGATTGTTTGGCCTGGGAACCGGTCAGGTCACCGGTTCCGTGTTGGCCTAGAACTGCTATTTTACAAAAACAACTATTGAAATGGTTAGAAAACCATTAACCCAGGTTGCTTAACAGTTAAAATGTTTAACCTTACTAGCGGTTCTCAAGTTACTTTTAAACTAATTCCAAAATTTTTATTTATTTTAAAATAGAAATTAGAAAATAAAAAAAAATTGAATAATGAAACTTTCATATCTCATAATCTTGTTTAGTGATTCCAAATGGCCAAAATTAGTTAGGTTTTTTAGTTTGTCTCAATGTTTTAAAACCCAACTCGAAGGCCAAACCATTTTTGTTTCCGATCGTGGGTCATCGGTTTGATCGTCCAGGTCGAACGGGTCAGACCACCACACATGTACCTAAGGGGTGTGTGTGTGTGTGTGT